CAACAGGAAACATAAGAGAGTATTTTTGGTCTGATGTATGCTTACAGCAGCGTTAGTCAACTTTTTTCATCAAAAGTGAAACAAAATGTGGCAGGAAGTGATTCAAAACAGCGAGCAGCTATTGGGTTGTATATTTCATATGCAATAAGGATCTGAAGAGGTTGATTCATTATTATTGCAAGCAAAGAACACATTTTGTAAATTGAAGTTTGAATAAAATGCAATCCAGAAATTAAACTGTTTTTTTTTAATAAAATGTTTTCAGAGTGACTCTGCTGTTTTTTGGAATAGATTTTTCCCCCCAACATTTTTTAAAACTTCATCCTTCATATTTATTCTGTCCATTTCTTTTAACATATTATATATTTTACACTTTTGCTTGTTAGATTTTATTTTTTTCTCTGAAATTGTGGTTTTCAGATCACATTCTCTTCCCTTCCGGAGGGACGATTTCCTCTTGAGCGAGGAGTGACGATGCGTTTCTATTGGATGTTAGCATCAACATTTTAGCGAGTATTGGGTTTGAAGTGAAGAGAATGGGGTCTATGAAATGCAGTTTGAGACAAATGCAATTTCTAAATCTCTTTTTCAATTTAATTTGAAAAACATTAAGATAAAAAATGTAAAGAAGTCAACAGAAATATAAAAAACAACTGCGATAATGTTAGCCTTCCTGTGTTTACTCTGTAGCTTCCAGTCCAGTAAGAAAGTCAACCCAGCATGCATTGCAGAGGTGAAAAATATAAAAGATATATCAGTTTTGAAGTAATTATTATTTTTTTATTACAAACTGCATTTTTTAAGTTTAATAGGCTGCTGAGGGAATCTGTTGTCCATCTGCTGTTGCTGCAGTATAATCCACATCTCCTTTTCTGATTAGAGAGAGGAAATTAAAATGCTTTTTTATGTTTTATAGTAGAAAATAAAAAGGGTTTTAGTTAGTTTGTGTAAACCATTACAGCGGTGGAAGTAACAGAAATAATTATTGGGGAGAAAAGTTTAC